CCCCCCCCCCCCCCCCCCCCCCCCCCCCCCCCCCCCCCCCCCCCCCCCCCCCCCCCCCCCCCCCCCCCCCCCCCCCCCCCCCCCGCACGGGCCCTTGGCTCCTCCTTCTTCCCCTCCCTCTCTCCCTGTTGGGTTTCTACCCCGTCCTGCTCTCCTCCATATTTGCCGGACCCTGCTTCGGCCGCATTCCTCCCTGCCTTCTACCTGATTAGCTGCTGGCTGCTTTTCCAGCCTCAGCGCAAACCTCACGTCCCCGGGAGAAGCCAGGCAGCGCCCTGCACGCAGGTTGGGTGCCTACGGCGCCGTCTGTCTACACCGAGGCCCTTGGCCCCTTTGAAATAATTAGATTGCAGGTGGTAATTGCCGTCTCCTCCTGCAGACTGTAAGCTCCGCGAGAGCAAGCCCCCCACTCATCCCTGGTTCACTGAATCTGCGGCCGGGACACGAGGCCTGGCCAGGTTGCCTGGCCAGGTTGCGGTGCTTCTGGAATGTTTGGTGATTAGGATTCCTTATATTAGGAAATGAAGGGATTTGCATGCTTTGAATATTGCTTTAGGTGATGTTTAATCCTTTTAAAGTTGCCAGATTTAGTTCTTTTTTAACCATTTTGGATTAGAACAGGGGTTTGCAAACACGGCTTGCTGGCTGTTTTTGTAAATAAAGTTTTCTTGGAACGCAGCCATTCTCGTTCTTTATGTCCGGCCCATTGGCTCTTGCGGCAGCGACTGGGTGACCCGCGAACCCGGAGTGCTCACCCTACGGCTCTTCGGGGCAAAAGGTGGTCAGCCCTGGAACAGGATGATTTCAAAAATAACTTCATTCTTCCCTGTCTTCTCTCAGAATTTCAAATGGGTCCTAATCTTGAACTTCCTCGATGACCCTACCATGAACTGTTACTGTTTCGCTACTGTACAGGGATGATGAAGGGGGTTATATGAGGGTTTGGTTTTTCGGTTTTGGTCGGATTTCTCCAGATGGGCTCTAACACTGTAGGCTTTTACTTCGTGGATCTGTGCCTGCCACTCACTCCTGGTGCACCCTCACCTCCTGCTCTGAACCTGTGACTTGCGACTCCCTGTGAGTGAAGGAATGAGATAACCAGGCTTTTCGGAATTAACGGTCTGAAGAGTGAGAGTTCAGAGGGAGTGCCTGCGAGGCTGCTCCCGGAGCGGAGGGCGGGAGCTTTCTGCTCGGAAGGAATTGAGACAAGCAGTTTGGCTCCTCGGAGGCATTCCGAGTGGATCCTTGCTGATTGCTGTCAGCCGAGATAGTGGCCGGGGGACAGGCTTGGGATGAGGGAGGGATTGCTGTGGAAGCCTCGCTCTCGTACTGTTGGAAGAAGCCTGGGTTTTTACCGCGGCGGAGGTTGCTGGGAACCGGGTTTGCGAACTTTTCATCTTACTCTGAGTTCAGGGCTTTGACACACAGACTCAGGTAGAAAGTGAATTCCCGGTCCCCTGTGGACAGTCACCTTTACACTTTAAACTAACACTCTGCACCCTGGCTTTCTGCCAAAATATTTCTTTTCCCAGTGGCTGGAAACTGATTAGCTAGATGGGAGAACAAAGGTGCCTTTGTGCTGGGGCATATTGCTTTTGAGAATTTAGCAGAGAGCATTCAAACAGTCTGGATGCGATGCCAAATTATGCAGATTTGGGGTTGTTTTCTTTTTCTTTCTTTCTTTCTTTCTTTTTTTTTTTTTTTTGGTCAGGTTTCCCATGTAGGCAACTTAGTTTTACTCTCAGTGTGTATGGTCTGGAATTTTCCTTATAAATCTTATGTGGGTTTTCTTAATTGATTCTTTTAAAATGAAAATATATACTTCTGAGAAAACACATTTAGTAGGACACCATCGTTGATAGGCTTTTGGTCAAATGTTGCCAAAACGATTCTCGTATCAGTGAGTTAATTTCCAAAGCCAAATTATAAACAAATTTGTCTCTGTGAGAACAGGGTATACATACTTTATTTTAAATTAAGACAGAATTATCCCCAGAGGGGGAAAAATGCCAAAAATTAAGGTACCCCTAGTCTTGTACATTTCTCTGCAACTAGCTCTTGGAGAATTGAAGCAGCCTAAGAAAAAAAGTTCTCCATACTCAGACACACACCTGACACTTAATTAATACTCATTCTGTGAATGTGTAAAGTATTGGCCTAGTAAGAAAATAAAGGTCCAGTCTTTGTATTTTGTACTCTTAATCATTACTTTGTACTCTTCATTTCCTGTTTATGTAGTAAAGATGATAATACTTATCAATAGAGTGTGAGAGTCAAGGGAAAGAATATAAACTGAGACTGTACAGTCACAGTGTGGTGATAGTACTATTATCCAGAGTTTCTGAGACTAGGATTTTGAGCTAGTTCTTTGCGGGAGGGGGATTTTGTCTCCTTTGTTCTTCGGATATATATTTTTATCCTTGAAGATTCTGAATTTTTAGTTTCTCCTCCTTTGTTATTTAAGTTTCCCGCCTGATGTTAATTTCATTTCCTTTTTTTTTTTTTTTAACCTGTCATTCTCTGATGAGGTGTTCTGTTTGTAGGTATTTTCCTTCAGCAGTATGATTTCAGAAGGCAGATCTGGTTTTAGGTGCCTTGTTTTCCCTTAGTTTTACATCAGAGAGGGTAGATCCTCTGGGTGGAAGCAGGAACGCCATCCATGCAGGTTGTTTGACTCAAACTGGTGTTTGTTTTGTTATTTTAATTAGGTGTCAGCATTTTAAAAACGAGAACATTTTTACTTAAAAAACTAGGCTCCATGGCAAATGGGATTTGGCCACACAAATTCCTATAGTGGAAGAAAGACTGTGGCACAACCGCCAAGAAAGGGCCCTCCACACTTCTTTTTCACACGGTGAAGAAAAAAGTTCAATCTTAGACTTCACCCTCTTTCAAAAGTGGAGAAATGGAAGATAAGAACTCCCCCAGAAAACTGAGGGAGAACATTTATTTGCAGGAGACTAAAATTCCTAAATTCTAGATATACATTCATCTAATTTACATGATCATTTCATGCATATTGTCTGTTTCATTGAATTACATCCTCTGCCCCGCTGCCTGTAATACAAGTTTGTTCCCTTGATTTACCTTGGGAATCAAAAGTGTCCCATTATTTATTTATTTATTTATTTATTTATTTATTTATTTATTTTTAATATTTTATTTATTTATTTGACACAGACAGAGATCACAAGTAGGCAGAGAGGCAGGCAGAGAGAGAGGAGGAAGCAGGCTGCCCGCTGAGCAGAGAACCCGATGCGGGGCTTGATCCCAGGACCCCGAGATCATGACCTGAGCCAAAGGCAGAGGCTTAACCCACTGAGCCACCCAGGTGTCCCCAACCTGGAGTTTCTTAAACAAATGAAGGAAAAATATGTTTTAAGTAACTCACTTGAAATGCTGTTTAAAATGTGTGTGTAGGGGCGCCTGGGTGGCTCAGTGGTTTAAAGCCTCTGCCTTCAGCTCGGGT